AATGAGGGATAGTGTACTCTCAGCGGTGCATGCTACCTTACCCAGGCTATGTTGCGCTACTACGTGAGTGGTTGAAGGTTGGGTATTATCATTTATATGGAAGATCATGTCCGGTAAGACATTGTATGTGAGATGCGTGGTAGCTGCACAATGTGTGCAGAAGGGCAAAGGTGTGTCCAAACGAATCACGTTGCCCACCTTGCAGCTTCTGGTAGTGACTAACTCCGGATGTTCTTGGAACTTGCCGAAGTCTGAAGTTGCCATAGCTATCCTCTCCAATCTAACCAACGGAGCCGAGATCTCGGCTCCAAGAACCAATGATCCAAATATGCAAAATTCTGACCCAGAACCGCCTAGCTCGTCTGGTTTGCCAGAGACCCCGTGTCCACGAAGTACCATACCTTATTAGCATGTCTTTATAAAACTCGTTTTCAGGAACGTTTCTATCATTCACGATTGATGATGCCTAAATCTTAGACTTGGAGCCTTGGACTATATCTCTACATGTCGCTATAGGGTAATTAGGGAATTAGCTGTTGTTCTCAAGACACTAGCGTTGTGCAGCACTAGGATGTTCTCGTATCGGCAGTTTTGGCTTTAGTGTTTCATTGTTATATTTACATTGAATTACGGGTACATGATTTGATATTCTCTTGTAGCCTATGTTACTCTGGATGCTATCCATAGCTTCGGGGAAGGCGAAAGAGAGATCAGCTGGTTCTCATCTACGGAGTAGTCAGCCTGTCACTCAAGAGGAGCGCCACGTTCTTGACGCCATGATCTGCCCCCAGTAACACAATTTCAAAATTAAGGCAGTTGATAATAAAGATCAGAAACATGAGAGACATCCATAATATACAGAGGCGTAGGGGAAAGGTCTTTCTGGTGTTAATGGTATAGTATTTCCTGCAACCGTTTCCCAAATCTTACGTAGGACAGCTACCTAGGTACCTATGCAATTTTGGCGGGTTCATCAATACACAGACTGGCTACCTAGTCAAGGCCATTTGAAATCAGCCAACACTTACCACTGGGCTTTAGAAGCACATGCAGATAGAAGTTAGTTTGTTTTGCAATTCCCTCTGCCTATTAGTATGTTCACGGCTACGATCTACCTCCCGAGAAGGCGTCTAGATAAAGTAATGTAGAGACTATAGCAATACAAGAAGCTTCATAGCCTCATTTGTATGTCTCCCATCCCATATTGAGTCACCAGCGACATGTTTACCTAGATTCGTCCTTGGCCAGCAGGTTTTCCACTCTTTTGACCTTGTCCTCCGCCGTCTGTTTCTTATCCGTTCTATGATGAGATCATGATTAGCATGCAACCAGACAAGACACTATAGAAATAATGCATATGTAGGGTGGTTGAACTTACCGACTACCGACCCTCATCGACGACTGAATCCTGACTACACCACGGCGATGCACAACAGCATGTGCTTTTCCTACAGCCGCCATTACCTCGTTCCATGACCCCTCTAAAGAGAACTTGTTAGCTTTATGCACCTGGAGCTGTGAACTGTGCTGCAGCAATTAGAGCATAGGATTGGTGTAGGCCAGAAATAACGCACCCACGGTGGTACCAGCAGAGTGAAGAGTATACTTCAATCCACTCGCCTTGAGGACCTTTTGAACCTCAGCAATATCTTCGGCAACGGACACAGTTCCAGTTCCGATCTTTTCGTTGTCAGTATTAGAATATCTGCAATCCCAACGCTTCAAGGGACATGAAAAAACCAAGACTCACGGGAAGAAGGCAAAAGTCGACATAGCACGCCTCCGGTGTAGCAATACTTTCGTAGTCCATGGTCAAAATCCCAGCTTCCAGTTTGGGTGGTATGAAATATGATTGAGAGTGAAGGTGGAAAAAATAAGAGAAATATATCGATGGGTGTTCTAGGCTTCTGGGTCTTGGACTTGGTCTAAATCGCTGCTAATTGGCTGACATGATGTTGCAATCATCAACGACTTCATGATGTTGAAAATGCTGATAATGTTGCTGACGATGGGCACAGCTGTGCATTATTCATGGAATACGTATTATCATTCCTAGAGCAATTTTCAGTCAATGTGGCATCTTTATACATTTCTATTGAGAGTCTATCATCAAGATAAATGCATGTCATCTGTCTAACAGGCCAATCTTATGCCACCATATCGCTACTAAGTTATCGACACATCCCCTCTGTCCCTAGTCGTAATTCAATCTATGAAGATGCAAGTTTGCTATCCCAAACGCCTCGCTGTATGCCCATGTGTCCGAACCGGATTAAACGGCAGGTCTATTCAAACCTGCGTAAATAATGTCGAGAGAAGAGTGAAGACAAAGAAATTGTGTTCGAATGCTGAAATGCATTCAAGTCTTGAAAAACTTTTTATACCAACAGCACTGCGGCAGCGACGAAGGCAGCCAGGGCAACCATCCCGACTTGCCTGTCAGTCGTGCTGCCAATCGACTCATCCGAGACCTCCTCACGCCCAGTGGCGTCAGAGATACCGTTCATCCTGTCTGTAGCTGCGAGAACCTGACCCTTCTCGAAGAAGTCTACAAGCACAAAGTTGGGTACAGCACCCCAATCCTGTCGGCATTCCTGAAGATGCTTGCCCAACTGACCATCCTCACTGGTACCATCACTGTTGACAGTATCAATGTTCTCAGTGTCAGGGACGAACAAGTCAGTGTTGTCTGAAAGACTCTGATACTTGAAATGATTGACGAGACCCATGTAGTTACTGGCCATGGCTGTAGCACCATCCTTAATCTTGGAGGGGCGGTCGACAGTGCAGTTGAAGCCGGTGAGAGAGGGAACCTCAAACGCTGTCTCAAAGACATAGTCGAACTCTGGCATCAGGTAGGGGTACTGAGTCGAAGCATCAATGTTGGTGACGAAAGTTACGAGGCGTGTGCTGTTATCGATCATGGACTTGAGAGTAGGCCACTCGCTGGTCGGTTCCTGGGTAGCGGGTGCGTAAGCCAGCTCAGCAATACCGGAACCGTTAATGGCTTGACCAAACTCATCAGGTTCGGCATCGTCGGAGTTGACGAGCAAGAGAGTGACAACCTCATTCTTGTTGGCCTTCATCCACACGTTGATTTCAGACAACCAGTCCTCTAGTGGGCCAGCATCGAGAATACCACAGGAAGTGTGACAAAGACGGAGGGTGTTGTTTTCTTTGTGTACCTGGGCCTGAAGCAGACGAAGACCAGCGTCAAGAGCATCAGTAGCGTTGAAGTTCTGGTTACCTGCAGCGGCGAGCCCGTTGTTGCCATCGCGGAGAAAGGAGCTTCCGTGAGCCCCCATGTGTGTGATGTTGTTATAACTGCGGCTGCAGAGGTCTGGAGAGTTGTTGCATGCTGTTGAGGAGCCAGACCCTGACCCTGACCCTGAATTTGATTGTGGGAGAGCGTAGACGGTGGACGTAGCAGCGAGAACTCCGGCCACGACGGAGAGAAGTGAGGACTGGAGCATGTCGATTGGTTTTTTATGTGTGATGGTCTTATCGAGAATCTATGGGTTTAACGAGGCAGAAGAAAAATATAATGATGCAGAAGATAGACAGGAAGTAAGAAACAAATCTAAAGAAGGAGATATGAGGTTAATAAACTATGAAACAAAGAAAACAATATTTGCCATGGAGTATGTCATGAGGTAGGCTGTAGGTCCCCGTAGGCATAGGGGATGAAATGGTTGCTGTCCGTGCTTTCAAGCTGACGTCGCCCCGGTCCAATTTTCTTTATTTTTTGTTCGAGGTTGGGAGTTGGCGGCGGTTCAGTGAGAGCCATCCGGCGGGAGCGAACCAAAAGAGGCCCTGGATATCCACTGAATACCCACTGCCTGGAACACTGGAGTGATCGCCAAACGACCGAAAAGCCAAGACGTTGAAGGTTGGGGCTGAGGTCGGGTCAGGTCTCGAGTGGTCGATGCTGCTGCGCCCCTTGAGACGTCAGCAGTGGATATGCCCTGGGTATAGGTGTTGTGTTACACTTCAAACGCCGACGAGACAAATTAAGAAATACCCGTTTTGCTCTAACGTCGTAAACAGAGTTGGCTTCTGTTTGAGATACAGTTTGAGATTGTACCTGTCGAGCAAGCCCTAGGTACTAATGTATGTATGCTTTCTAAAGCATAAAGCATGAATAAGGCATTTGCTGTATCCGTGAATCGATGTTACTTCATGCCTGGTTGGCCAGTGTTATCAAACGGCGCAGATCAACATGAACCGTTTATCCATCCTGCCATCCAAGGCTCCAACCACCACGGTTTACGATGCAGCTCAGCGAGCAGCCACATACATATCACACGTGTAATGACTTATTCCAGGATGCCAAGAATACACACTATACCTTACAATGCGGGAGCCGAGACGTTGTCTCGGCTGCAGCCATTTGCCCCTCCACATTCCGGACATTTGAGAACGCCTCGCCGCCAGCGAGATTGGATACCGTTTGTCTAATGCGTGGTACTCAATTATCTCTCGTATCTAATATTAACCCCTTTTGACTCGACGAACTGCGTTTTCTCCGGTATGGCCAGAAAATTGTGACACCACTGAAGTACAGGATCACATCTAACCTCAGTTTCTTATGCATACCACGACAAGCGGCCATTCCTCGTGAAGGAGGTGGTGGCGGCGGCTGGGAGGCTGAGCAGACAACGTTTTTGAGGGGCATGATCTATTTTTATCTGTTTCATGCCATTAGCTTCCGCGGGCGGCGACCTACCTACATTAACGTGGCGGCTCAAAATGTCGACCAAGCATGACGGTCCTCACTTTTCAATGTATCAAACACGATGGCATGATGGCTGGTATATGTAGGTATCCGGTTATGGAGATCAAACGTGCTTCTCTCACTTGACTAAGATGGATTTCAATAGGCCCTCGATGCAAGTTCGGTAACATTTTTCTTCCATGGCCATTAACAATGCCATGAGGGGCCCCATCGCAAGACTGCATATATCTATACCGAGCAAGTCCTTGTCCTTGCGTGCTCTTGCTCACTCAGGATCACCGTATTCTTCTTTCTTGTCGACAGAAGCCGCGGCTTCAATCTCTTTCAACTGCTGTTTCCCCTCCTCTGTTGTAGCGTCAATGATTTCTTCTTCCAGGCTCAAAATGTTGGCCTGTCAAGCGATTCGTTAGCCCGTGAATTATAATCTTGTCGCAAGAGTTGGCAACTTACCTCGCCAAAGAGACCCACGAGTTCCTCAGCCTCGTCAATCTTCATTTCACCGAGCACTTTGTTCACTTCGTCCAAGTTGCCCGTCTCCAAGGCCTTGCGCATATCAGGCTTGAAGCTTTCGAAAATCTTCCGCGCTTCCTGCTCTTCAGGGTCCTCGCTGTCCGCTGAAGGAACCTTGATGTTGATGACGGTACCAGGCTCCACGGCATGTAGCTGAATTTGCTCGACACCTTCGGCTTGCCCGTCTTTGGCTCGCTCGGCTAAGATCTCCCTTGAACGTGTTCGAATCTTCATATATGTGTCTTGAACATCCTTATAGAATACGTCCTGTGCTTGGTGCCCTTTGGTTGTGATGCGTTTGAAGAAAAGCCCGACACCATCCTTGCCAAGAGCTCTGCAGTATTGTAGAAGCAGAGCCTGATGCACCAATTGCCGCGACAACTCATCATTGTTCTCCAGAGCAGCGTCAAAGGCCTGAACCAAAAGGCCATCTGTCTCCCTCTCAACCAACAACTGAGGATTCTGCGACAGGAACTGGAGACTAGCCGCATAGTCATTTGCCTTGATGGCGCCGAATTTCTTTCCAGCCGGGGAAGATTCGATATCGCTGTCATCGTCCACCTTGACGTCTTGGTTTCCGGGTGCCGAGCTGGTGGAGGTTTCAGTGAAACTAGGATTCAGAAGCTCTACCTTTGTGGAGTCCTTCTTCTCTTCTGGCTTTGACTTGGCGACATGCGAGCTATCAAAACCTGTGTGAATGCCCTCGCTTGTGATCTTTCGGCCTTCCTCCTTCTGCAACTCCTCCAACTTAACTACTAGCTGTTTCTGCAGGTCCATTACCTTATCCTCGTGTGACTGAATCTCAGAAATCATAGCTTCGTATCTGTTTTCCGGTTTCTTCTCATCCAAAGCCTTATTGACTTGGTCCAGGAGCGTTGCCATCATCTTAGTGTATGATGGTTGTTCCTTCTCCTGGGCATGAACACCCTCGGGCGGTGAAGGCGGCTTGTCATCTTTTGGATCTCCGGCTGATTCCATCACGGCTTGAAAGGCAACTTCTGCTGGGTTCCTGGTGACAGCCTCGGAGGCATGGGCTCGCAGCGATGCCAGAAGCCCAGAAATTCGCTTCAGCAATCCATCGTTGACCACACGCTCATACTTGTAGGTCTCGATTTGCAACTTTCGGTGCTGTCGCTCCTGGTGAATCTGATTCTGCTTCGCGCGGATAAACGATCGCTTGTCGACATTAGGATGCACTTCAATGTCGGAGTCGTCACTGAGTTCCAGTGCGTCCTACCAAGACTGTCAGGGACGGGATCAAGCAAAGAGGTTCAAAAACTTACCCATTTACTATAATCGACCGGCATGCTGTAGACTTTGATATGTATGAGTAACCGCCTTGCAAGTAGCGTCGCGAGATGAGTTTAGTAAGGAGTGCTGGTTTTGAATAAGGCCGCAGGAATGGAAGTTTCTGGACCTTACATCAGAGCTCTACCATGATAGCGGGGTGATTATAGGTAACCCCACTAGGTAGTACGGCTGTGGCAGACTGTGGCTGCTGTTTGTACCAGCCACAATAAAGAGAACCCAGGGTGGACAAGCTGCCAAGATACTGAGTCGATCACATCAAACGAGGGAATCGTAACATGGATACCATGTAAGTTCTCATTGCCACAGTAGTCGAGCCAGACAACAAATAGTATCCTTAGCAATTATTCCACAAGCAAAAGTACGCCTTCGCTAAATGAACGATCTAGGCTATTGTACACATCAACATTGACGGGGTTGCATACCATATTCTAGTGGACCACCGTCTTGTCCAAAATTCGTCAAAAATGCTTCACCATGTTTTCAGCAAGCCTGGGAAGTCGGCCTATTGCCTATGACATCGTCTTCATGAAGTCATCCAGGTCGAAACTCTCCTCATACTGCTTGTTATCCCAAAGATCCCCCAAATCATCCAGCCATGCCTTCTTGCCTGGTACACGCACATCACCTGTCTCGATATCGACCATATCCTCTTCTCTTCCTTCGATGTTGTTCTTCTCCTTATCAGCTAAGAGATTTGGTGCGGCATCTCCAACATTGAATAGATCAAGAATCTGATCCGTGTCCATCGTTGAGAGGCCAGCGTTCTGTTGATTTACGACTGTTGATGCGACATCAATCTTGAAACGTTGGAGGTTCAGGATTTTCTCCTCGAGAGTTCCACGTGTGATTAGGCGGTACACGTTCACCACTTTCTTTTGACCGATACGATGAGCTCGATCCATAGCCTGGAGATCCTTCTGGGGGTTCCAATCGTGCTCCACGAAGATGACAGTATCGGCTCCCGTCAAATTCAGGCCAAGACCTCCCACGCTCGTAGTTAACAAAAGCACGTCATACGACGGGTCGCTGTTAAACTTGTTGACGATATCCTGCCTCTTGTTGGCTTCGACCGAGCCATCAAGTCGTAGATGAGATACTGAGGGCAATAACTCCTTCAATACCTTGTTTTGCACCATATCGAGCATCTCCTTCATTTGGCAGAAGATCAACGCACGGTGGGGCTTAATAGGTTGGTAAAGGGGATCGTTCGAATCATTGCCTTCAACGCCCATGCCGCAATCCACCAGTAAATCTCTCAGAGCGGTCAACTTGGGTGCGTGCTGCGCATCCTCAATAGAGGTTCCTTGTTTGGCAAGAATCTTCTGTGTCTCGTCGTAAAGAGTGCTTCCTGGTTTCATTACCATGGCAGGTGAGTTGCACAACTTTCGCATATACTGTAGGGCCTGGAAAATGTGTTGTTTGGCTTCTTTATCTTCACGACCCGCTTCGGCCTGAATCTTCTTGCCCTGTTTCTTCGTGAAGTCCTCGAATAGTTTTTGCTGCAGGTCGCTCAGGTCACAGTAGTAGTTCTGTAAGATCTTTGGCGGAAGATCGTTCAAAACCTCTTCTTTGAGGCGTCGCAGCAGGAACGGAAGCACCTGTTTGTGGAGTGCTTCAATCGCCAAGGCACCCGCTTCCTGTTCCTTTGATGATGCCTTGCTAAATCGACTTGCAGCTATAGGCTTCGCAAAGCGATCCAGAAAGACCTTTTCAGCGCCCAAGAATCCAGGCATCAAAAAGTCAAACAGAGACCAAAGCTCCAAGACATTATTCTGAATAGGGGTGCCGGTGAGGATAAGACGATGATTACTTGCCAACCTCTTGACTGCCTGTGTGATCTTGGCCTTAGGGTTCTTGATCAGATGGCCTTCGTCGAGCACAACATAGTTCCAACTATGTTTATCGAGAACTTCTGCGTCATTGCGGCAGACATCGTAGGATGTGACTACGATGTCAGTCTCGCCAAGTCTGGCTTTCATAGCCTTTCTCTCCGCTGGCGGCCCAACGTAGGCGGTCACGCTCAAGAATGGTGCATAGGTCTTGATTTCTTGCTGCCAGTGACCTGAAAGTGTAGGTGGGCAGACAATTAGGGACGGCAGCTTGCGGACATCCGGTGCCTGTGTCTTGGCAAACTCTTCGGCACGCTGATGATGATCACTGGCTACGATACAGAGCGTCTGTAGGGTCTTGCCTAGACCCATATCGTCACAAAGAATACCATGAAGGTGGTACTTATTGAGGAAATTGAGCCAGTTGACGCCTTCTTGTTGATACGACCGCAGCTCAGCCTTGATGGCTACAGGAATCTGGAATTGCTCTACCTTCTTTGGATCCAGCAATTGAGCAATGAAGGTTCTCTCGCGGTCCCGTCCTTTCAGCAATTCCTCAGATAATCCCGGCGGGTCAGGAATTCCAGCTTCAAGAGGAACAAGTTTGACTAACGTGGCAAAGGATGTTGTTGCGATGAGGCGAATCTCGTTGTCAGAATCGCTCATTCGTCCTAAGACGGGCACAATCAAAAAGATGACGTATGGCAAAATGGCATCTCCCATAACAGCAATTAGATGGTAGACAGCTTCGATTGCTCCTTGTCGGAAATTGAGGTCAACTGGATTGTTGATCGATGGGAGAACCTTCTCAACAAGTGCAGTCATACCGTCGACGGTCATGACACTGCAGATTGTGGCCATACACTTGGCAGCCATATACCGGAAGACTGAAAGTTCCGAGTGCAAAGCTTTTATGACAAGAGGCATCATTTGCATGATGAAAGGTTGCAAGGCCTGATCCAAAGTTGGAGTCATGGTGCGAATGACAGACATGGCGTCGACAATCTCTTGCCCAAACGTCTGTTCGGGGTCCTTAGCCTCTCCAGGCAGAGTGTCAGGCGAGAAAGCTCGAACAAGAGGATCTTCCATGAATGTGCGGAGGCTGGGGACAGTTTCAAGTAGGCTGGCGCCGTAAGTTCTGGAGAGAATCTCGAGGGCTTCTTTTGCACCTCGTCTGGTGATGCGAGCAGCTTTAGCTTCGCGGGCCCATTTAGCAGCATCTGGGTGATCGACACGGTCCTCTTCCTTCTGCATGGACAGAACACAATCAGTCTTACTGGCATGAACTGGAAATTCAGGAGTCTCTGCAACTTCGACACAAGAGAACTTGACTAGGTTGGATACCACTTTATCGGCTGGTCCCTTTCTACCCTTTTCAGTGAAAAGCTGCACGAGTCTTGCAATTGTGTCAGCAGACCGAATTTGAAGTTGCTGGTTCTCTTCCGTTTTGACAGAGTCCATGATGCCCTTGATCAATGGGCTGGGTTTCTTGGGGAGTACTTTCATGCCAACCATTGCACACGCTGCTGCTGCCTTGACGCGGACATCACGCGCTGCCTTGACAGTCTTGGCTTCTTCAATGGCCAAGATGGTCATATCACGAGCGTCGGACAGCTGTTGGCTCGCTATCAGACGTTGGCCGGGAGGCATGGCCTTCTTCAATTTCTCATAGTCATCGCCGATACATTTCTCTGCGGTGGCAATGGAAAAGGCACTCGGGCCAGCTTCTGCTTCTCCTTGGACCACGACAGGCAGTGTCGGAAGTTTGCTATGCGAAACCTTACCATGGTCTCTGAACAGATGAATGAGCTGCTGGCATTGTGTCCGGACTCGCTGGATGTAGTTGACAAGATCCCTGTATGCCGCTGGACGTTCTGAGTCAATAATGCGTTGTAAATTATCGAGGTAACGAGGAGAATCGCCCAACTGTTGGCTATTCATGGCAAACTCGTCGATAATGACGCATGCTGTCATCTGGCTGGATGAAAACGCCGACCCTAGGCCAGGAATTAACAATGCATCATAATCGTCAAGGCTTGCGACAGGGACTCGAGACATGATGAAGCCCATTGCCTTGGCAGCTGAAACACGAGAGCGAATCAGCACATCCATGCCAACGAGATCCACGTCGCCTTGCATCATGTGGCCATCAACATCGTAGGTAAGGCTAGCTGTAGGGGTGTCGTCGATCTTTGTGGATTTCCGGCGACGCTTGGGGGCACGATCAGACCCATCGGGAGATGACGGCTTCCGCGGTGTGTGTTGAGTAACTCCGGGCATAGTATACGTGCCACCTGATGGTTTTTGGAAGAGTGAGGCATTCATTGGGATCGGGTTCCTCGAAACACCGATAGGATGTAGAGTCAGTTGCATCATAGAATCGATGTGAGCCGTGAATTCGTCTGCAAGAACAGCAGGTTTGCTGGCTAGGCTCTCGACCAGAGACGTCCATAGGTCCAAAGACATGTTGAGGGCGTCTCTATCTCTTTCAACGAGAATATTTTGAAAGATCAATCGGAGAATTCTGCCGTTGAGCCAGCCCTGTGAGGTCTCTGTGTCAAGTTTTGCGAAAGTCGACAATGCTTTCAACACAGCCACCCTCACCGACGTTATGGTATGACGTAAAAAGGGGTAGAGTCTGGGGACAAGCAGAGTAAAGGAACGTTCTTCATCTTGAGCGGCCGATGCCTTCATTGCTTCGAGCACCTCCGGGAAACCACACAGAGTCGCGAGCAGGTCCATGATTCGCCCAGTACTGGCGCTCAGGTCATCACCAAGATTTGAGAGACTCTCCCAGATTATGTTGACAAGTCCCTCGAGTTGTGTGGGCCGCAAAGTGACAAACTCCTTAGCCATGGGGATAAGCGTAGCGGCACTGACAGAACGGACATCGTCATCCATATCACCCAGGCCTTTCATCACAGTCTTTATTATGCCATCAATCATGTCGCTGTCCTGGAGGAGGAGGTCTTTCCTGACCGCGACAACATATCTCAGGCCAATCATCCCACCATGGCACACTGACCAAACCGGCCTATCAAGCTTAAGATCTTCTTGCATAACCATTCTGTAGAGAATTTGGAAGGTGCTGTAAACAGATGACGATGGTAGATGTTTCAGAACGGATCCGAGAGACTGTCCAATTGTTTCCCGAATAGGTGCCACAG